AAAAGACCCACAGTGGGAAGTGTCTCCCACTCCCAGGCACTCCATTACACCTCTCGGAGCAAGGGCCTTGGCTCCTCCCAGAATGAGACTAGAGTGCAGAGACCACTCTAATGAACTGCTCACAGACAACTCAAGAAATACGTAAAAAGAGTTTTATTTGCAGGGAGCGAGACTCTAGTCGAACAAGCCAAACCCCATGTCATCGTCTGACTCCTCTGACTCCTCCTTCTTCTCCTCCTTCTTTTCCTCTGCTGTGGGGAGAAAGAGCGTTGAGACCCCAGTGCAGGCCACCCTCCCAGCTGAGACCCCAGTGCACCTGCAGGGGTGGCTGCCTGAGCCCGCACTTACCTACGGCTGGGGCAGAACCCGCAGCAGGAGCTGCAGAGCCTGGGGCAGCTGGGACGGCCACAGCCCCGCCAGCAGGCACGCTGGCCAGCTTGCCGATGCCTACAGAAACCAGAAAGGGGAGGTGAGACCACGGCAGGTGCTTGGCCTGAACGCTGCCTAAGGATAAAGAAACAGTCTGCCCACTATCAGGACCTGTATCACAGACTTCTGCTCTCCCAGACAGAAGATTCTGTCACTGCTCCCAAAAACTGGCTTTTAGGAATCTCTCCAGCAGGACCACACTGCCCCACCCAGGATGTAAGTCGGATAAACACACCAAAGATCAGGCAGGAACAGACTCTCACCTCTGGCAGCAAGCTCACCACGTACCCAGGGACAGAAACAGCTCCCCAACAGCTCCAATTCCACACAAGCCCCACCAGCCTGATGTCGCTAGGAAACCACGTGCCCAGCAAAGGAGAGCAGTGGCTGCGGTCCTCCCGGGCACCCCTGCTCTCTGCTCGGAACGCCTCTCACCAAGAGGGAAAAGTGAGACTTGTTTATAAACAGGCTCAGTGAGAGCACTGCCCCTGGGATGTCTAGAAGCGCCCGTGACGTGAGCTCTCTCAAACCCTGCTCACTCCTGAGGGTAAGACTTCTAGGATGCTCTAGTCCACAAGCGAAACCTGGCAGGTCACAGGCTGACCCGCAGGGATTAGGATGGACCATGAAAACAAAAGCTCCGACCACAAGCTCACCCTGAGCAATGACGTCCTCGATGTTCTTTCCGTTCAGCTCACTGATGACCTGCAGTGGAGGACCAGCACAGTTAGAGGCCCACCATCACAGACCCTCCAGCCCAGCCATCGTGACCCACGCTCAAGAGGGGTGAGTGAGACGTGCCATGCGTGGTGACTTAACACCACATTTTTAACACATATTGCTTAAAAGAATGCAAGATATCTCAATTTATATTCAACACATGTTAAAATAACATCCTCAGTAAGGTAGATGGAAAAAAGCTGAATTTAGCTACTTTCGTTAAAATAAAAGTTGCTAAAATACCTAAGTTACAAGTGAGCTGTACTGTGTTGTATTCCCACTGAGCCCTACTAATGGGGACTTTACCTCTACCCCAACTTGTTTCCTTTTGGCCGTATCGGTATCTCAAAAGGGCACCCAATGACCACATGCGCTGGCGCAAGCCTCCCCTCAAACCCGCGGGCACGTCAGCCTACACTTTCCCGAAAGGAAGAGAGGGACCCCCTGTGCGCAGAATACAGAGTTGGCCGGGGGCTTCGGGTCCCAGCGGGGCGGCTACCTTGTTGAGCCGGTCATCGTCTGCCTCGATGCCCACGCTGTCCAGGATCCTTTTGATGTCCTTGGCGCTGGGGGAGGCATTGCCCCCGAGCGCGGCCAGCAGGTAAGAGGCGACGTAG